ACCCACACCATGTACATAGATAGGTATCCAGGTGGGCGGGATAAGCTGGACGAGTCCATACAGGGTGGCGAGCTGTTCCAGACTATCGTCTACAATCCCATCAACATATTCATGACGCACATGTCCAACTATGGCTCCGATCGCCTGGCCCTCTACACATTCCAATCGGTCATCAAGTTCCTGCAATGCTGGACCAATCTGAAGCTGGCCTCTGCACCGCCCATACAACTGGCTGAGATGTACTTCCATCTGCATCCCGAAGAGGTGGATCCTGTGTGGGGCAATCCCTGCGACGATGCGCGCCACAAGAAGATCTGGTCCAAGACCAAGAACTGTGACTCACTACCCAAATTCCTGGTGATTGGGCCGCAGAAGACGGGCACCACCGCCCTCTACACATTCCTCTCGATGCACGGCAGCGTGGCCAGCAACATACCCAGCCCGGACACCTTCGAGGAGGTGCAGTTCTTCAATGGCAACAACTACTACAGAGGCCTCGACTGGTATATGGACTTCTTTCCCTCGGAAACGTTGCCCAACACCAGCTCCCCCATGCCCACTGCAGTGGGCACACCGCGCTACATGTTCGAGAAAAGTGCCACCTACTTTGACGGCGAGGCGGTGCCTAAGCGGGCGCACGCACTGCTGCCCCATGCGAAGATCGTGACGATTCTAATATCGCCAGCGAAACGCGCTTACTCCTGGTATCAGCATCAGCGCGCTCACGGCGATGTCATAGCGAACAACTATAGTTTCTATCAGGTGAGTGAGCAGAGGGTGAACATTTGGGAGAGGCTTTGAATGTCCCTGAATTCCATGAATATGTAGATCTTAGTGATGGCAACTTAAAGCTGAGAACTATATGCCCTCATTCTCTTTAAATTTTTGAGCTATCATTGCTTCAATTATATATATATATATATATATATGGGTCTATCAGATCTTTAGAAGTTTCAGCTTTGATAGAAAAGTGTCTCAAAGTCACTGTCAGCCATATCAAAGCCTTATGAAGTTATTGTATATAAAATTTGCATAAGCTTTAAGATATCTCAACCTCGCTGGGCATTTGCTACAATTCAAAACAAAATCTGAAGCAAACATAGTTCTATCTAGCTTAAGTAACTAACTAATATGAAGCAACTATGGTTCGAACAACAAATATCCTCTATATTTTTGCCTTATGTCCTTTTGCCAGACAATTTTAGCAAACATTATTAACGAGTTCCATTTGGATCCATAACGAAAGTATTCAAATAAAGTTGAGGCAGGCATTTGTGAGCAATTAAGCCTAAAGCGTAACTACCATATAATTTCCAGTGCATAAACATCAAATATACTCGTGCAGCAGAGACTCCTCTGCTCGACTCTGATGCATACACACACAGCTCTTTGGTCAGCTCTGTTTTTGGCAAGATTGTTTTTGGTTCATTAGTCAACAGCTGTCAGCTGCCAGCTGCAAATGCATAGAAATCTAATGAACTATCCATCAATTCAGCATAAGCTAAGTCAAGCAGAACATGAAACGCAACCACAAGCTGCATTTGCAACTGGTTTGATGTGGCATTTATTGCCACTGCCATTGCCACTGCCACCGCCGCCATAGCTGTTTGGAGAGCAGCTCTTCAAAATGAAAATTCATTTGGCGCTCCACAAAATCGCTTCCGCTCCTCTGTCCGCTCCCTAACTCAGAGTCTGTCGCCTTAGATAGAACAACTTGTCGGCATCATTTTTCGATTTGCATGCAGATTCCTCTTTGGCCAACAGCTGCATGCAATGCCAATTGCAGCATATTTAGTTGCACCTGCAGCATTGGCCAGCTTAACACATGTTTTTCGCCCCCTTCACCCGCCTCACATTTGCTTGCCTTGCTCTACATTTTTGACATGTGTTCGACCCGAAGTCTCCGAATGTCTGAAGCAGACCATTAAATTGGTCACAGCACATGAACTTGAGGTACATATATATGAATCGTGTCTTTAACTTTTTGACATTTGCTCTTGCCAGGTCATAACTGCAAGCGATTCGGCGCCGCGTGCACTCAAGGATTTGCGCAATCGCTGCTTAAATCCGGGCAAATACGCACAGCATTTGGAGCACTGGCTGGCCTACTATCCTGCCCAGCAGCTGCACATCATCGATGGCGAGCAGTTGCGGCTCAATCCCATCGATGTGATGAACGAGCTGCAGCGCTTTTTGAAAATCCAACCGCTCCTCGACTATTCCAATCACCTGCGCTACGATGTGAAAAAGGGATTCTACTGCCAGGCTGTCAGCGAGAAGCGCAATAAATGCCTCGGCAAGTCCAAGGGGCGCCAATATCCCCAAATGGATGAGCGCAGTGCCAAGCTGTTGCAGCGGTAAGTAAAACCAAAAATACAGAAAAAAAAAAAAAACAAAAATGAAACAAGGAAAAAACACAAAACGAATGCAAACGGAATAAAAAACGGGTCGTATGAGTGATTTGGGTTGGTTTTGGGGCGACAGACAGATGACGACGTCGACAGCGACGACGTTAGCACTGGCGCTGGCAACGCTGCTTTGAGTGAAGGATTAATGAACACACCCACACATGACTGTATATGAGTGTGAGTGTGCTTTTGTGTGTGTGTGTGTATATAGAATAGTTGTGGGCGGTAGCAAGAGGCAAGAGCTTTGGGAGTCGGCCATGGGGCGGCAGGTTTTTGTGTGCGGCATTTTTGCGGCCGTGGAAAGTGCACTTTGCTGTACTACTGCAATTCCGGATGCCAGCTGTCAGTTTGGTGTGAGCCCTTTTTATATTCAGTGATTCCAGCTGCTAAACGAGCCACTTTTATTAGACATCACAATGAACGGCATAGGGAGCATCAAATATGAAAAGGAAACCTGAAACACTTGATGCAACAGAAGCAGCTTAGAGAGTTCTTTAGACAGACAGATGATGTGGCAATAATGTATGATGAGAAACTCATTTCTAATAGCACAGAAATTTCGACTTGCCTCCTACAACTGACACGGGTTGGGTCTTTACTTTCAATTTATTAGAATTTGACAAGATGGAACCAATCAGTTCCAGCTTCAGCCGTTAAGTTTCAAATCCGATTTCGAGTTCGAATTTTCGCCTTGCTTACGCTCTTTTTAACACTCTTCCTCTTTCCTTTTTTAGCTACTATCTGAACCACAATACGGCGCTGGTAAAGCTGCTGAAGAAGCTTGGATCACGTCCCATACCGCAATGGCTCAAGGATGATTTGTCGACGGGCACGTGATAGCAGCTGTTTGGAGGCGTGGCCATTGGCGCAGTCGAACTTGGAATTGGTCTAGGAATTGGAATTAGCGGCAACAAATATCGCAAAATGCGTGCGAAACTCAGGAAACAGTTGCATTGGCTACAGCTGACGGCGGCAGCGGCGGCGCCCAGAACTATGCGTGCTAGCAGTGAGAGAAGCAGCGGCAGCGACAGAGACAGAGACAGAGGCAGCGACAGCGGTATCGGCAGAGGCAGAGGCAGAGCTAGCGACAGCGAACAGAAACAACAAAAAGCAAAAAGAAAAAAAAAACATAATTAGCTGCTTTGAATATGCATAAATCTTGTTTGTTGTTGTTGCAATTTAATGATGTCGCTGCAGTTGGCAGTTGAATACAAAAACAGTTAACTAGCGCGTATGTGTGTGTGTATGTTCGTATATAGGTGTGCGTAATTGTGTAAATAGTATAATGGAATTTGTGCATGTATGTGTGTGAGTGTGAATGTCTCTGCTGCCAGTGTATTGTAATCTATAGCAGAAAGCATCATGAATAAATGCATAAATGCATTTCATGCGCTTTGTTAGTTGTTCAAAAACGTTATGCTAGCAAGAAGAAGAAAAAATGACAAAAACATTAATTATTAAAATATGAGAGAGAAAGGAAAAATGTGTGTAAAGCCCATAAAAATCAGAGCCAATTACGTGAGCGTTTTGTAACGGTAATTATGCGCCCAATTAACTGCGACTTGATTCATTTCGTTAATACCTCAGAACACTTTTGTTGTCAACTCACTTATCAAAGACTCCAAGCACACAACAATTGCAGAAATAATAACTGAACTATAGAAATATTTGTTTCCAACAATTTGTATACTATTTGATTAACATTTAAATCCATGCCAAAACTGTGAAGCCCATATTTACAGTTGCGAGTGCTATACATATGTTACATATATAGATATATATATATAGTATATTTAAATAAGGCTGCTATTTGTTTTAAGTGTGTATTATAAATGTTTTTAGGCGGACGCAGCGAACGACAAGGAAAATGCTTAAATGAAACCTTTAAAGCACTAAGCAAAGCTCTATATATAGTATATATATTGTATAGTTGGATATATATATATATATATATATATATATATATATATATATATATATATATATATATATATATATATATATATATATATATATATATATATATATATATATATATATATATATATATATAATTAGTTAAAAGTTTAGATTCGTAATGCGACAATAATAAAAGCGAAAATTTAAATGAATTTCGAACTCTGATTATTTAAATAAAACCGTTAGTACGTCGAGCTTTTTAATAATCACCCTGTGCAGCCAGTGAACGAACAAGTACTGTGCATCTGCTAATTTTGGCGTTACCGTATCAGTATGTCTAGTTTACATTTAACGACTGTTAAACTTAACGAAAATACTCACTTAACGAAACTGTTACTTAACAGACGGCCACCTAGCGCACTGTTATGTCCAACTTTCTGTTAATAAAAGCAATGCACATTTTAGAAATATTACACAAGTGAAAATATAGCTACACTCTTGTGTATTTTATAAAACATTATACAATAAATATATTACAATGGTGTAATTATAAAATGTTCGATTAGTTCTTATCGAAACCCGTGTGTGTGCATACCAGCCGGCGCCGATTAACAATAGACAGCTCAGCTGTTGTCGAACTTTCGAACTCGCCGCATGCGATTGCGCCAAAGGGGGTGAAGCAGCCTGATTGGAATTTTAACAGCAGTCTGTTATCAAACTTACATGCGCGTGGTTCGGCTACTTCGTCGGCGAACTGCGGCTGTTTTCGTTATAGCCTAAGCTTTATAAATTTAGAATTTCAATTAAATATTAGACACCGTGCTACAATAGCTAAAAAGCCGCCGCTACCATCACGAGTGCCGTCGAGTGACGTCGCTGCCAAAGTCAACGCCAGTCGAGTGCAAAGTGCGAAGCAAAATAATCGGCAAAGCCGCCACTCGAGCTTAATTAAATATTTATAACAAAAAAAATATATATACATATATATATATATATAACGCAGTTAATATCAAAAACCAAAGCATCTTCGATCGTCTTTCTCTATTTTGTGCGAAACATGTGCCGCGTCTAGTTTCTTAGTGAAAATAGAAAAAACAAAAAAGTTAAAACCGGTAAATTCTTACCCTTTACTCTTCGTCTGATTCTCGTCTTTCCAACTTTTTGCGCGCCGCCTTTGTTGTCGTTGCTGTTGCTGTTACTGTTACTGTTGTTGTATGGCACTGTTGCATTTAGTTTTACATCTAGCATAAAAACAAATTTTTATGTCAGTCGGATTTAAAAAGGCACAACATACAAATTATTTTTTTTTCAGTATAAGCTTTTTGGAAAATTTGGAAATTGTTAGTTTTTTCTGTTAGAATAGAAATATTAGTAAATACAGCCTTGGTCCTGCCAATTCTAAGATTTTGCAATTGAAAATTGCAAAATCCGTTTCAGTTGGACCAATTTCGAATGAAGGCAGTGCCATCTCTTTTAACAGCCAAGTGAAAAGACAGCAGCAACAACAATAATAATAATAATAACTTTTACTACGACATCAATAACAAGACTGGAGACAGTAGCAAGATTCTTACTCATTGGTTCTGCCTCCCTTGTCATTGTAGCGCCTCGTTTTCTATACTCGTGAATCATAGAAGGGGATTTTTTTTTTATTGTTGTTGCTGCGATCTCGCGTGGAAAGTTGCAAGTTTGGCACTAACGCCAGTTCCAGCTGCAGCTCCAGCTCCAGGCGCCACAGCATGTCCAGGCACGGCATCGTATTACTGGGCAACATCGGTCAGCTCCTGATGTGCCGTTCCAGTCTGCGTCCACTCGAGCGGTGCGGCTGGCGCTTAAAGCCGGTGAGTGCGACTTTCGCAACGCTGGTAAGTGAAACGTCCTATAAATACATACACGCACGCAGACTCCCACACGTGTGTGTGCCTCGTGGCGCTCCGGGGGAGCAGCTGTAGTCTGCCGGCGACTATTCGAAATTATAAAAATATACACACTTGTTCTTTGACTTTGCTGCCGGCAGCGACAAAAAGTATAACATATAACATACATGTATATATATGTATGTATGTATATGTATATGTATGTATGTATACGTTCCTGCATATATACACATATTTACATTATACAACATGCGTGAGTTTGAGAACGTTCGTGTGCACATTTAAATTATTTAAATTTATGCGAAAGTAGAAACATGCTAACAAAATAACAATACACTTATATATAACGTGCATATACTACATATATAAATACATTCGTACATAAATGTGTATACATTGTATAATCTTATATTCTCTGCTTTTCATTCCCTGTCTTTTTCACATGCTTTCTTTTGTTTTTATTCTTTGCTTTCGCACACTTGTAAGCCGAATCGCCAACTCCCATGCTCTCCCATTACTACGCTCAGCCTCGCTCTTTCTCTCTCTCTCTCTCTCTATCTATGTTGTTTTTGTCTGCAACTTCAATTGAAGTTCGCTCACATTGAGTCACATGGCGCAATCAGGTAATGTTAAGCATGTGTGTGTGAGCTAACAATATGTAAAATTTACGCGGTTCTTGTTTTTGCATTTATACGTCATTGAGAGCGATCTGTTTTGCGAATTGTAAGCGCTCCGCTCAGTGAAGCTCAAACTGTGTGAATGCACTTATATTGTTTCTTAATCACTCTCTCGCTCTTTCTCACGTTACTCATTTGAACTTTTTGTGAATCATCATTTTAGGGGTCACTCCCTATCAGCATTTTCAGTGCTTTGCACCGGCTTTTTCGGAGAAGTGACAACTTTATCTGCAGGCGGCCTCAGGTGATACATTTAACAGCCCACGCAACGAAAGGCACAGGAAAAGCGAGCCTCAAATAATATTATTTACGCACACCGTCCATAACATGGTCTTTTATGGCAAACGCGATTTGCATACGAAATGATAAAATTCATCGTTATTTGTTTGGTCGTGCCAGAGAGACAAAGAGAGAGGGAAAGTGAGAGAAAACACAAGAGAGCAGAACTTCTATTTGTCTTGCCTATGTCAATGCGAATTCGCCCAAACAATACAAAAATGTTGACAAAAAGTGTCACACAGCGCTGTAAAAAAAGTTATATCAGCAGAGCGGCTGGGTGGAGCAGTCACCATGTCAACATTATTTGATAGTCGCGAGAGATATAGCGGCATATTATTTACAATATATTGTGTTTTCCTTGTGCTCTGACACATGTTGTTGCTGGATGCTGGCTGCTGTTGTTTTTGGCACTTAATTTGCAAGCTGATTAAAGTCAACAAAACGAGTTCAACAGCAACAACAACATTGATTGAACAATTACACATACATCATAGAAGAGACACAGGGTGCACAAAGTGTCGCCAGATATTTTGGTCTCGTCCTCATGCCGTTTGTGTTTCCTGTCATAATTTTTAGTTCGGCACGTTCTTGCTCTACTTTTCATCTCCCAATTCGCTTACACTTGGGGCTTTGTTTCAAATTGTAACTAAAGCTTGTTTTCTTGTTCGTTATTTTTGCTGGCACTTTCCTTCCCCTCCCCTCTCCATCCAATGTTCTCCATGTTTATGTTTGCAAAACTTTTATTGGCGCCATTCGGTCTGCCGCACAACACAAAATCTGCGTTAGAGTGGACCCAACCAGACCCGGACCGGGTAATTCCGTTAGCCCTGCATGGATTTTTTGCTGTATGCCCTGCATTGGTTGTGCTTTCTCCATTTGTTTTTCCTTGTTGCCGACCCAGGGTATTGGGGCGTGGCAATGCTGTAAATAAATTGCCCATATGCAGGCAAACAAAAACAATTGCAATTGATATTTGATTAAGGCACGGTTATGCACCGATTTCTGCAGCCGCAGCGTGGCAGAGTATCCTGCCTGCTATCCTGTTGCATAAACATACAAAAGCCAGCTCGCACAATAACAAAAACAAGGCAACAAAGGACCCGACCTTATTGATTAATTTTCATTTGCACTTACGTTGTGTGTGTGCGCTTAACCAATGGCACTCGAAAGCTATTTAGATCTATTAAAGCAAGCCCCACAATCAGCTTATACTCTTATATACTATAGAGTATAGTCGGTATTTTATTTAATTATCAGTTAATATATGTTTAAAGCTGCATTGTTGTGTTAAGGTTGCGTGCAATACTTGAGTTGTTGAGCATGAAAGCTTCAGCACATGGTATATTTGCTTTATTTATATGTATATGTATTCATATATATAGATATCTCTAATTTGTCAAGTGTCTCTTATATTAACTATAATCCCACGTCTCTTAACGCGTCAAGTATCGCTGGCTGCCCTTTCAAGTAGTTTGATAAGTTTCATTATCAGTTTATGATATTTATACTTCTTTTTATTCGGCAACAAAATCAAAGCAAGTCAAATAATTGCTGTCGGCTGTGGGGAACTGCACAATACACTGTTTACATACTGAACGTAGGCAAATAGAGCTTGGAAATAGTTTTATTTAAACATTTTCCCAAGTCCAATATAACCTTTTAAGTGAACAGGGTATAGGGTATATTTCTAGATAACAATTTAGCGAAACTCTCTCCATTTCTTAGTAACGATTGTCGCTTCGAATAGTTTAGTTTCGGCTGCTCTGTTTAAAAACTGCTTATCTTTGAGCTGAAATCTGGTTCAAAGTTCGTTTTCTGTTTGTCTGCACAAATGAGGCACAGATATTTACGGAGCACTTAAAGTTTGCTAGTTACTCAAACATTGCAGTCGATTGTTGCGAGTTGGACAATTAACAAATTCGTTTGAGCGCAACGCTTCATAATCTGCAGCGCAGCGAGATGTTGGCCATTGTTTGGATCAGCAAGTTTTCTGTTTTAATGCACAAACTTCAAGTGGAGCAAAGGGTTGTGTGAAAATTTCCTTCTTCCACCTGGCAGCCCCCGAAAAGCCATTTGGCTTAACCCATTCAGAAACAGCCACCGCAGCAAATCTGCATTTTATACGACTTATCCTTGCTGCCCCATCTCGTGAACTCTCCTGGGCATTCAGCCAGCCAACCAGCCAACCAGCCTCAAACAGTTAACTCGAAAGCTTGTGCACGTTTTCCCACATTTATCAGAACGCCAAAATCTTTCAGCTAGCTAAAAATACAAGCAGCGCCAACCAAGGGCAAAGCAGCTGCAAGTTATTTGCATATGTGTGGAATAGTTTGTGTATCTAGAAGGCAGGATTTTGTTATCGCTGCAGTCTTTGGCATACGCTCCTAATTAGCTCAAACACACTCTGCCTACGAGAGTCGCTTCTAATCCACTTAGTTCTTAAATGTTCATTAGAACTTGTCGCGCTCCATCAGCAAAGTTACGTTTGTTGTCGTCGACTGTGGCTCAATATCTGACAGGATACATATAGCTGTGTCATTGTTTGTATAAGTATCTGTGTGTGTGTGAGTGTGTGTTTGCCATTGCCATTGCCATTTCAATTTACCTTTCGGCCAATTGGTTTAGCTTAGTTTAGCCTTGCGTGTTATTGTTCTACTCTTGACTTTTAGTGCACTAACAAACCACCAACAAAGCCCACTCTACATCCCAACCACAATGAGCACCACAAGTGCTGCGTGGGTGTTTAAACACCGGCATGATATGTCGATTTTATTGCTTGATTCTCACCCCAATCGGTAAATTGCTTTAGCCACTTGGTTTGTTTTGACTCGCCCCTTTCTGCTTCTTGTTATTCTTGCCACATGCAGCCATAAAAACACATGTTGAACTAACTGCAATGTTACGAGTATCTGATGCATATGCAGCAATTGAGTGCAGTGCATGCTTAACTGTAAAAGGTTTGTCAGTTACTTGTCGCTAGCTTTTAGCTCCCCCTTATCAGCTGTGTTTGATAACTGCTATCAGCATTTGAATGTTGTGCTTAGCTAATGCAAATATTTTCGCTCATGAATTCATCGCAATTGAATTCGCGGCTTTCATTGACCAGCGAACATAAAACATTTTAATGCTATGCATAAGTTATACTGAAACACATTAAAGGGCGCTGACGCTTGAGTATTCAAGGATATTTGCTGATCTTGGGCACAGACTTAAACTTAATTTATTGGTTCTGCTTGTTGATAATGCGTTGGCCAAACAACAAACAGCAAACAACAACAACAACAGGAAATGCCATGCTGAGTGGCACTTGAAGCTGGCTCTCTAATTTATATAGCAAATATTTAGATTGTAAGCGCTACGCGAGGGACCCAAAATCAGAGAGAAAGAGAGGCAGAGAGCGAGACAGAGGTTCTTACCCAAAAATCTTTGCATAAATTTCCAACCATTTAAAAGGTTCTGCAACAACAAAGCCACAGAGAAAACCTCCAAGTTAACTGCATAAAAAGCCTGTTAATAATTCAGGGCGTGTCTAAGGCTACGCCCACTGTCTTGTCTATGCTATGTGTTGAGTGCCCGGCCGCAGCCGCCCAGCTACCTTAGAAGCTGCTTCATCTCAGCTGCCAACTCCCAGTCCGAGTCCCCATGGCCAGCCTTGTCAGCTGCTCAGCTTCCCTGTGTGCCACGAGTGCAAATTTTCCCATTATATGCAAATGTCTCACACCTAAAGCAACTTAGCACAAAATGAGCTACATAAATTGCTTTGGATTATATTTTTGTTGTGAGTTGTGGTTGCGTATACGAAGAAAGGAAGTCGACTAGGTCAACAGCCTTAATTGGCTGTTAACTGGTTGGATTTGTAAGTATTGGCTGTATGAACTTGGTGTAATTAGAATATGGCTAAGAAATTAAAAGACTTGTTTATTTTTTAAAAATGAAAGATGATTGGGTCGCTGTAATAGAAGAACTATTATCAGAATATATTTAGAATTTGATTTGATAGAAGTGTGTGATATAAATAAATAAATATTTCAA